CCTGAGATTTCCATATAATTGTGATGGCTTTTCATAGCCGGGCATTTAGAGGTTGAAATAGCAGGTGCGGTAGAGAGAGAGAGAGTTGAGACAAGGTAGCATGTCCGGTGAACAGGTCAGGGTTCCATAGCTGCAGGCAGAAGAGTTGAAACTGGAGGAGGAGCACGACTAGGTGGACTGGGGACAGCAAGGAGTCATCAGGCCAGGTAGTCCTGAGGCATGGTCCTAGGGCTCAGGTCCTCCGGGAGGGGAGGGAGAGAGGGAGAGAGAGAGAAATTAGAGGGAGCATACCTAAATTCACACAGGACACCGGATAAGACAGGAGAAAAACACCAGATATAACAGACTGACCCTAGCCCCCCAGCACATAAACTATTGCAGCATAGATACTGGAGGCTGAGACAGATGGGGTCGGGAGACACTGTGGCACAGTCCGACGATACCCCCGGACATGGCCAACCAGGCAGGATATAACCCCACCCACTTTGCCAAAGCACAGCCCCCACACCACCAGAGGGATATCAACAGACCACCAACCTACTACCCTGAGACAAGGCTGAGTATAGCCCACAAAGATCTCCTCCACTGCACGAGCCCGATGGGGTGACAAACAGTACAGGAAGATCACGTCAGTGACTCAACCCACTCAAGTGACGCACCACAGAGAATCCCAATGGAGAGACGGGAACCGGCCAGGCAGAGACAGCAAGGGCGGTTCATCGCTCCAGTGCCTCTAAACTTTGATTTTTAAAATGTTAATTATTATACAAAATTCTTGCAACCAATAGAATGTTATATATATGGGGGATACAACCATCCCAGCTCTGCAGATTTTGCTGTGAAGAGACCGAATCATTAGATAATTTGTTTTGGTACTGTCCATATGTAGCTTATTTTTGGTCGCAGGTCCAGGAATGGTTGAAGAAGTGCAACATTTACCTGGAGCTAACTCTGCAGATAGCACTACTGGGTGATTTGAAAAGTCATAGTCAATCGATCAATAATATAATAATACTTTTAGCAAAACATTTTATCTTTAATTTACAACCTGTAGAAACTATGAGAATAGTAAGGTTCAGAACTTTTGTGAAACATCACAGCACAGTTGAAAGATATATGGCAAATATAAATAAAAAATGGATGGTGTTAAGAGATAGATGGGAGGGGTTGAGTGGAGCTTAAGGGTGGGATTAAAAACAACAAGATAACTAATGTAAGATATACTGTGTCCATAAAATGTATATAGTTTCAGAACTTTTGTGAAAGAAGAAGAAGAAGAAGAGCAGTATGTAGTGGTAGAGGTGTGGTTGGAAGTGGGGAATATGGTAATAGTGAACTTTTACAACCCATGTAAGAGACTAGAGTTGATGGCCCTTGGGAATGTAGAAGGTCAAGATAGGAGACGGGTAATGTGGTGTGGGGATTTTAATGCTCATAGTACTCTCTGGCGAGGGTTACGGACTGATGTAAATGGAGGAACTGCTGGATGAGAAAGGGCTTGTGAGTCTTAATAATTGACACAGTAACTGGAAATGAATCTTCTCTGGATCTTACTTTGATCTCAAGTGCAATGGCAGGCAGATGTAGTTGGGAGGTTTTGGAGGAATCTACAGTGGGTAGTGATCACTATCCTATCATGTGTACTGTAGGATTGAGGGTGGAAGATTCAGTAAGAAATGGATTGAGGAGATGGATATTTGGGAAAGCGGAGTAGGATAAGTTTCAGGAGCTGTTTCAGGTTGATCTCAATTCAGATATAGAAACAGTGAATGATGGAGTAAGAGGAGCAATAGTAGGGGCCACAAGCCAGGTGATTCCTATGGGGACAGGGGGAGAAGGAGCAAGCCAGGTGATTCCTATGGGGACAGGGGGGAGAAAGAGAAACGCAGTTCCCTGGTGGACTGAAGAGTGTAGAGAAGCAGTGAAGTGTAGGAACAGGGCTTTCAGAATGTTGAAAAGGTCTCATAATTACCAGCACCTGATTCAGTATTAACAAGCACAAGCAGTAGTAAGGAGGATCATTAGGACAGCTAAGAGGGAGTATTAGCGCCGGTTCTGTGGAAACATAGGCAGGACCACTCCTGTGGGAGAGGTATGGGGGATGATTAAGAGGATGAGTGGGGTCAGACGAGATTGGGGTCTCCCTGTGCTGAAAGGTGGGGAGATTTGTTACCGTGAGAGATATGGAGAAGGCAGAGATGTTAGCCCAGGCATTAGTGGTGCACAGCTCAAATAATCTGACAGAAGAGGGGCAGCATGGGAGAGAGAGGGTCAGAGGAGAACATCCGGGGTCCTGGATCAGAGCGAGATGGTGGGGGATGCATTGAATGCCCCTTTTACGTTGGCTGAGATGACGAGAGCATTAGCTAAAGCTGGGGTAACATTTCCTGGGAAGGATGATGGCTAATCTGTGACACTGCCATGGGGAAAGTATTGGGCCTTTACAATAAGGTGTGTCAGGAAGGGAAACTGCCTGGAAGTTGGAAGCAGGTTGTAGTGGTGCTGATACGGAAACCAGGGAAAGACCCTACTAGTCCTTCAAGCTATAGGCCGATAGCGTTGACATCTCACGTATGTAAACTTATGGAAAGGATGATAACGGAAAGACTGACATACTTTCTGGAGAGTAGAGGACTAATGTCACCAGATCAAAGTGGGTTCAGGAAAGGCAGGGGAATGATGGATCCTGTACTGTGCCTTGAGTCAGTCATACAGAAGACACAGGCAAATAAGGAGGTGGTGGTAGCCGTTTCCTTTGATGTAGAGAAGGCTTATGATATGATGTGGAAGGAAGGCTTACTTATCAAGCTGGATAACATGGGGGTTGGAGGAACGGTTTTTAACTGGATAAAGGATTTTATTTTTGGGCGATCAATACAAGTGAGGGTGGGGAGCTCTATGTCAGAAAGCTATGAGGTAGATAATGGTACCCCCTAGGGAATTGTCATTAGTCCTTTGTTGTTCTCCATTATGATTGACGATGTATTCTCCCAGGTGAGACCTGATATTGGGAGGTAATTGTTTGCGGATGATGGGGCACTGTGTAAGAGAGGGAGAAATATTACCCATACAGCCAGAAGAGTTCAAGAAGCGATGAGTGAAGTTGAGCAGTGGTCCCTCAGATGAGGCTTCAAGTTTTCAGTTGAGAAAATACAGACTGTTTTTTTTTCTAGAAGGAAGGTTGGGGAGGAAATATACTTGAAGTTGTATGGAAGGAATCTGGAGAGGGTGGGAGGGTTTAGGTTTCTGGGGGTCTGGCTTGATACTCAAATGACATGGGTGGAGCATATTAACAGAGTAGTTGTCAAAGGAAAGAAAATATTGAATGTGATGCATTGCTTGTCAGGAATAGAATGGGGGGTAGATTGAATGGTGTTGAAAATGCTATATATAGCGCTGTTAAGGTCATCACTGGATTATGGAAGTATAGCATATGGATCAGCAGCTCAGACATCTTAAAAAAGCTAGATGTAATCCAAGCCCAAGCCCTAAGAATATGTTGTGGAGCACTCAGGACCTCCTCAGTGGCAGCGATTCAGGTAGAGTTGGGAGAGATGCCGTTAAAGTTAAGAAGACAACATCTAGCCATGACATATTGGGTAAATCTACAAGGACATACGGTTACGCATCCTGCAAAAAAAGTACTCCTAGAGTGCTGGGAACATGAACGAAATCTGAATACAAGCTTTGGGTGGATAGGCAATGACATGGCGAGAGAGATGGGGTTGTTTGGGAGGGAGTTTAGCCGCTCTGTGGTTCTTCCTGCTATCCCACCTTGGTTTCTCCCTCAGCCAATGATAGATCTAGAGTTGCTTGAGAGGGTAAGAGATGTTGAGGAAGGCGTAGATTCAGTTGTAAGTGAACATTTAAGAACACAATACTATGCTTTCTTGAATATATTCACAAATGGATCTAAGGACCCTAAAACAGGGAGGACAGGTGCAGCTTTTAGTGTTCCTGAGTTTAAGGTGGCAGTAACAAAAAGAGCAACGGATCATTTATCTGTTTACACAATGGAGTTGTTGGCCATACTATTGGCTGCAGAGTGGGTGGAGGAGGTGAGGCCAGACAGAGTAGTCATCTGCTCTGACTCCTGTGCAGCACTGATGAGCTTAAATTCATGTGTGTCTCAGAGCAGACAGGATGTATTGTATGAGGTGTTGCAGTGCTTGTATAGGGTGAGACAGATAGGGGTATTTGTGATGTTCCTCTGGGTACCAGCTCATGTGGGAGTAGAGGGGAATGAGGAGGTGGATATTATCGCCAAGCAGGCTCTTAAACATCCTAATGTTGAGATGGAATTGACAATCAGTAAAGCAGAAGCTAAGGGGTTAATACGAACAGTGGTTTAAAACAAATGGCAATAGATGTGGAACAGGGAGAGAAAGGGAAGACACCTGTATAAGATCCAGGAAAAGGTGGGGGCAGGGAGGTCCTCAGGCCGAGAGAGAAGAGAGAAAAGTGTTTTCACAAGGCACTGGGACACACATGGCTCAATAGTACATTGAAATTGTTGGGGAAACATCAAACTGGGAGGTGTAATCATTGTCAGGAGGAGATGGAAACAGTGGAATATGTTCTATTTCAGTACCAGAAATATGGGAGGGAAAGGGAGCGATTGTTATTAGATTTGAGCACCTTAATTGGGGAGAACGGGCTCATGGTAATGACTGGAGCGGAATCAGTGGAATGCTATCAAATACATCAAACACATGGTTTCCAGTGGAGGCTGCTGAGGGGAGAACGGCTCATAATAATGCCCCCTCAGCAGCCTCCACTGGATTTGAGGAGTAATGGGGTTGAAGAGCCAGAATTAAGTGAACTGCTGGAGAAATCTTCAGGGGATATAGTATTTAATTATGTATTTCGTTTCCTTAGGGAGACGAAAATATTGGGTAGGATTTAGACCTTCGCTGTCACTGGTCCACACTCCAGTCCAGTTGGTGGCGGTAATGCACCATAAAGTTGCCAACCGCAATATAAAATCCACAGAAGACGAAGTTTGAACTGTAGTGAGATTTGCAGAGAGAGGAAGAGGCGTAATCTTTGGTTTGCCCCATGACAATGTTTATCCGTGGTGTTCATTCTTGAAAGGAAAAAACACCTATTTTTTGCGGGGGTTACCATTCCAGAGCACATCATCTGAACATAATCGACGTATAGAAGGACAGGTTTGTCATTGTCTTTTAAAATGTGGTGGTGCATTTAGGTTGATAGCAAGCCAAAATTGATGTGTTTGCTGCTGGCAGCTAACGTTAACTAGCTAGCTACAGTATCTTGCTAACTTGAGTATGTAAATCTCTGGATCTCTGTATCAGCCCAATGTTCCATCAGAATCCAGTTGCGGTCGAAGCTAGTCTCAATGGGAATCCCTGTCTAAATAAAGGTTAAATAAATAAACTGCTTTGTCAAGATTGCAGTGCAAAGACCTTTGTCATGGTTACAATACAAATACTTATATTGGTATCACCATGCACAGGTGAACTGCAATGGCTGCCAACGGGATACCAGAGGATGTGTTGATGGATAATGATCTTATAAAGGATTTAGTGGATGTGGCAAAAGACTCAGCCCTTCTAAATGGAGTGTTGATGCGGACTAAAGAGACACCCAACTCATCAGAGGTAACCCTTATTCCGCTTGCTTAGGCTACACGTTTTAGACACACTGAACTGTTGTTTGATGTGACAATATAATTCTCTACTATAAGATGGTGAAGATCAGCTGTCTTGGTTAATTTAATTCAAAGGAGAAGTGAAAGATGGGAGAAGGAGAAACTGGACAGCCATTGGTCCTATGCTGTTCAAAAATGGCGTGCGTAATGCTCAGCCATGCCGGGAATTCTCTCTTTTGAGCCTGTTGTCTGACTGGATTTGTGGGAATCTATTCTGTCTCAGTGGTCATGTTAAATGTTTTTCTGTTTATTTTTCGCTAAAGCTAGTATCCAGTTTACCGTCTTAAACGTTCAGAGAACAGAATGCCAAGACAGTTAATGCAATTCAATTGCATACCTGTACTATTGTGGTCCTCTGTAGCTCAGCTGGTAGAGCACGGCGCTTGTAACGTCAAGGTAGTGGGTTCGATCCCCGGGACACCAAAAAAAAAAATGTATGCACGCATGCCTCTAAGTCGCTTTGGAAAAAAGTGTCTGCTAAATGGCATATTATATTATTATATTATGTCAATCTGTTGTGATAATCAGAGAAATCCCAATAACATCAAGTTAGGGTGTGTTCGTAAATTTATTCTAGATTGCGCTCTGGTCGTTTGTAAATGCAGGGTGTTGTCAGATTGTCCGTTAGTAAATTCAGAGCGTTTCACTCGTAGCGTTCAGAGCGCACACTGGACGCTCTGGCAGAGGAGTAAGGTTGATCCTAGCGTTCTGACCTTGGCTGCAATCAAGCACTTGGGCTGGGAATTGCCAGGTACCTCACGATACGATATTATCATGATATATAACAACAGAGTTTAGGGCGTTTGCAAACTCCTCAATTATTCAGCGCTCTGGCACACTCAAACCAGAGTGCTCTGAAATCAGAGTAGATTGCCAGGGTGAATTTACAAAAGCACCGTTAATGTGTGTGTTTGGTTTCAGGTGGTGACCTATGCACCGTTCACACTCTTCCCCTCGCCAGTGCCCAAGGCTATCTTCCACCAGGCTCTAGCAGTACAAACACACTACAACCGACTGGTGGACAAGATCAGCCAGGACTCAAGCTTCCTGGAGGAGGCTCTAGCCAGCACCATCAAAGTGGATGATTTCACTGGGAGGTTGTTCAACATACACAGACATGTCCTACAGGAAGGCAGGACCCAGGTAGGGTATTATTGCTTTCTAACAATATCAGATGCCATGACTATTACTTTCTGTAAGAACATTTGAATTAATTTCAAGTTGCAACAATCAAATACGTTTAGGATGAGGTCAAAGACCTTGTTCACGCTCATTTATTCATTGTACATTTCCAGTCTATAGTTTTGGGTCTGAATCGCTCAGACTACATGCTGGACCAGAATGGGGATGGGAGTGCCTCCCTGAAGCAGATCGAGATCAACACCATTGCTGCCAGTTTTGGTGGTCTTTCCTCACGCATGCCAAACGTCCACCGGTATGTGAACCTTCCCTGCTGAAGTTGTTATTCTCCAGCTGTAAAAGATACGGAAGGATGGGAAAGAGAATTGGGGAAGTATGTTTGGTTTGGCATGCATATGCCCTGTGAATGACCCTGTCTATGTCTGCGGCTATAGACACATCCTGAATGTGGCTGGTCGGTTGGAGGATAGCAAGCGTATCCTAGACAACAACCCTTCTGCAGGTCTGGCAAAAGGCTTAGCTAAGGCCTGGGACCTCTACGGCTCAGAAAGGTGGGTGTCTTGGTTAGGATTCAGATATGTGAATGCATTTGGGATCTGTCAGTTTGTACAAAGAAAAAAAGAGGATACGGAAAACTAGGAACTTTGTCGGTTGTCTTTGTCAGTAACAGAACACAAAATAGATACCACTGCACTTGTAATACGGGTAATTCTCTGTCATTTAAAGGGCAGTAGTCTTGTATCTGGTTGAAGAGCTCCAAAGAAACATCTTCGACCATCGATATGTGGAGAATGAGCTATGGAAGAGGTAAGGCCTAGGTGCTTGGTCAAACACATCATCATCAATTCTGACGCAATCATCAGATTTTTATCCTGTTGATGGTCTGATGCTGTGATGGTGCCTCCTACTGCCACCTTTGTAGCCATGGTAGACCAATGTAGTTGACTACCATTGGTATATCAAAATGGCACGACATGAAATGTTTCTGCTTGTGTTCAGAAATATTCCTGTTATACGAAGACGGTTTGAAGATGTATCTAAGACGGGATTCCTTGATCAGGATAAGAGGCTGTTTGTGTAAGTGTTACTTTATTTTAAAAGGTTTAAGGTTATTTGCGTGCTCAACATATACTGTATGTTTTGATTTTGCAACATCTGTTACTGATACAAAAATACTTTCAATGCAATGCCACTCATTGTTTCATTAATTATTTTTTGCAGAGATGGACGGGAGGTTGCTATTGTGTATTTCCGCAATGGGTACATGCCACAGAACTACACAGAACAGGTTTGAACACAATCATCGTAATTTTTTAAAATATGTTCTCAGAGCTTTGCCGGGGGTTGTAAAATCTCTCAACGTGAAACTGATGCAATCACTTATTATCATGACAATGTGTATGATTTTGTGTAGAACTGGGAGGCTCGTTTCATGATGGAGCGCTCTATGGCTGTGAAATGTCCAGATGTCAGTACCCACCTGGCCGGCACCAAGAAGGTCCAACAGGAACTGGCCAGACCTGGTGTTCTGGAGAGGTTCTTTCCTGGTGAACCTGACGTTGTGGACCAGATCCGTGCCACCTTTGCTGGGCTGTATACTCTAGACATGGTAATAGAACAAAACCTGGCTCTTTTGGACTCTCAACAATGTTTATGCACACAACTCTTTCTATATAATGCCTTTCCAAGCAGTTTGCTTTTCTGCTTCAACTTTCTTATTCAATCTTACTAACAGGGACCAGAAGGTGACAAGACTGTGGCTATGGCTTTGGCAAACCCAGACCAGTTTGTCCTGAAGCCACAGAGGGAAGGAGGGGGTAAGAGGACCTCCGCTCTTAACTTCACATATCTCATGACCCTGACCTCTAACCTTGTCATGTTCTGTCCTGTCTGCTGATGTGTAGAATTCCTCTCCATCTGTAGGCAACAACATCTATGGAGCTGAGATCATTCAGGTACTGGAGGGTGTGAAGCAGAGCACAGAGAGGATGGCCTATATTCTAATGGATAAGGTTCAGCCCCGCCCTGTACACAACTACCTCCTTAGGCTGGGGACGCCACTCAAACTCAGCACCTGCCTAAGTGAGCTGGGCATATTTGGGGCCTACGTCAGGTACATTCACAGACCCATCTCTATACATTCCTTTCTTGACAACTTTATAGAAATTGTAGCTGTTGAAATGAAGTATACTGTAATTGGAGGTGGTATATATTTTGGCCCACTGAAAACTATTGCGCGAAGATGTGGTCATAACAATGTACTCCTGCAGAGTAATGCGTGTCCTCATTGATTGATATGATTTCTTTGTCCACACAGGCATGGGCAAGACATGGTGCTGAATGAGTGTGCTGGACATCTGCTGAGGACCAAGAGTGACGAACACTCTGATGGAGGTGTGGCTGCTGGAGTGGCAGTGCTAGACAATCCACTCCTCGTCTGACCTACACTGCCCCCTGCCACATTAATAGTGAAACTGCACAGATGGATGGTAATAAGAAAATGAAACACGCAAGTGCCCTTCTTTGACCACAGAAAACATTGCTGCTCCCCATCTATTTTAGATTTTTCTTTAATACTTTTACTGTAGAATCAAATGTGTGCTCTTAGAACTTGTGTAGATCAGGAATGAGCCTGATGGATGAAGAAAAGCTGTGTGCGGACACTATGAAGTCTTACTGCCTCAATACATTTGTATCACTGCTTGGTAGACTTAAACAGAGACAAGTAATTAATGTAAACAGAAAATACAGAACTATGATTATTTCACACCAAAAAGTTATTGAACAATCAAATGGAGAAACTGTTAAGTGATTTAATCAGGAAAGAAGAGAACAATTGCGAGGTAATATCCCTAGAGTAAATAATAATATAAAGATAAATAGATTGTTCATGGGAATAATAGTAATAAATATTTTTATTACTACAGGCCTTTTGTTTATTTTTGTATAATTTGAATAAATATGCATTCATAATATACTGTTGAGATTTGATGCAGAGGGTTACTATATTGGCATTAGACGGACAGATAAAGGTATCTGACAGATACAATTCAGTTCCATTTTATGAACACCAGATGGGACATGGAAAAATTATGCTTGTGATTTGCATATTCATGGAGGTGTTACTTACTGTGGCTCAGTTGGTAAAGTATGGCGATTGCAACACCAGGACAGTGGGGTAGATTCCCAGGACCACACGTATGTAAAATGTATGCACTCATGACTGTAAGTCACCTTGGATAAAAACATCTGCTAAATGGCATATATTATTACCTAAGATGTAAAGGTTATGGCCGAGGTACATCATAATTTTTCATTCTCAAGCACTTGGCTGTCATGTCAAACTGCTGCTTGGATTAATTGTACAGCAGAGCTGTATTCATAGACAGAAACCTTACAAGCACCTAAAACAATGACAGTGTCTACCATGGATTCAGTAGCTAGCTCAACCATTCACTGAGGATTATATGACAACACATCTGCCATTAAGTGGATATCTTTACTTTGGGTAAGAGGGATTGATGTTCATGTGTTGCCTACAGGCTATACTTTATACCTGTACCTAGATTAAAACATTTTTTTCGTCTAAAGACGTTTTTTCATAGAACTGCTACGGTGGTCCCGTGTGGCTCAGTTGGTAGAGCATGGAGCTTGCAACGACAGGTTTGTGGGTTTGATTCCCATGGGGGACCAGTACGAACAAGTATGAAAATGTATGCACTCATTACTGTAAGTAGCTCTGGATAAGAGCGTCTGCTAAATGACTCAAATGTCAAATTACATATTTTGTTCATATTAGTTCAAACGAGGGGATACAAAGAACAAAACGGTCACAGATAATACTCTACAATAAAATTCTCGTCTTTTTCTCCAGCTCGTACACTTTCACACAGTGGGGCTGTCCATATCTAAATCTTTTCAGGGTACATGCATCTACCCCTGTGGCAAATTTGGTGCTTTTATGCACAATTGAGTCAAATTTTGCAGCTCAGCTGTCCCACTAACAACTTGAACACAGGTGAACTGCAATGGCTACCAGTCCCAGTGGGGTTCCAGAAGAGGTGTTGCTGAACACTGAACTTATAAAGGACTTAGTGGAAGATGCTAAAGACTTTGCCCTTCAAAATGGAGTCTTGATGAGGATTAAAGAGACCCCCAACTCATCTGAAGTAAACCTGTATTTTATTCAGCTCACAGGTACAAAGTAGCTTATTGACTGCATAAATCCAGTAACTGCATTGACCAATGACTGAATGGTTATAGCTAGTAACCTTAATTTAAAAACATATTTTGGGGTAAACGATGACTGGAATGTTCTACTGTCACTGAAATTAGTCTTCATCCACCGCTCAATACTAAAAATATAAGATGGCGAAGACCCCTGAGATGGTGTCCTTGGGGGATTTAGTTAGAGTATTAACATCTGGGAGATGAGAATGAGCAGGTCAGCCGCTGGACTTGTACTGTTCAGCAACCATGCCAGGAATTAAGAGTATCAGAGCTACTGTACACGTGTCTGATTCCAGGTGGTGACCTCCCCTTACAAAAAAAGATTGCAGTCAGAGTGCAGTATAACAGCAGTTCAACTGCAGTAATTCTGCAATCACTACGTCCAAAATACCACAGTTGACTGCAGTTACTGCACTTTTACTGCAGTTTTAAAACTGCTATATTTTTTGGTAAGGGTGCGCTCCATTCACACGCTTCCCCTGGCCAGTCCCTAAAAGCTGCCTACCACCAGTACAAACACACTCTACAACCAACTCGTGGACAAGATGAGCCAGGACTCAAGCTTCCTGGGGAAGATGCATCGAAAATGATCTACACTGACCATATTGACCACTTATCGCAGGCATTTTGCTGATTGATCATTACGATAAGTAACATACAGTGCATTCGGAAAGTATTCAGACCCCTTGACTTTTTCCACATTTTGTTATGTTACAGCCTTATTCTAAAATTGATTAAATGAACAATTTTCCTCATCAATCTACACACAATACCCCATAATGACGACGCAAAAACAGTTTCGAAACAGATACCTTATTTACATAAGTATTCAGACCCTTTGCTATGAGACTCGAAATTGAGTTCAGGTGCATCCTGTTTCCATTGATCATCCTTGAGATGTTTCTACAACTTGATTGGAGTCCACCTGTGGTAAATTAAATTGATTGGACATGATTTGGAGAGGCACACACCTGTCTATATAAGGTCCCACAGTTGACAGTGCATGTCAGAGCAAAAACCAAGCCATGAGGTCGAAGGAATTGTCCTTGGCTCCAAGACAGGATTGTGTCGAGGCACAGATCTGTGGAAGGGTACCAAAAAATGTATGCAGCATTGAAGGTCCCCAAGAACACAGTGGCCTCCATCATTCTTAAATGGAAGAAGTTTGGAACCCCTAAGACTCTTCCTAGAGCTGGCCGCCTGGCCAAACTGAGCAATCGGGGGAGTAGGGCCTTAGTCAGGGAGGTGACCAAGAACCTGATGGTCACTCTGACAGAGCTCCAGAGTTCCTCTGTGGAGATAGGAGAACCTTTCAGAAGGACAACCATCTCTGCAGCACTCCACCAATCAGACCTTTATGGTAGAGTGGCCAGACTGGACGCCACTGCTCAGTAAAAGGCACATGACAGAGCGCTTGGAGTTTGCCAAAAGGCAGCTAAAGACTCTCAGACCATGAGAAACAAGATTCTCTGGTCTGATGAAACCAAGATTGAACTCTTTGGCCTGAGTGCCAAGCGTCACGTCTGGAGGAAACCTGGCACCATCCCTACGGTGAAGCATGGTGGCGGCAGCATCATGCTGTGGGGATGTTTTTCAGCGGCAGGGACTGGGAGACTAGTTAGGATCGTGGGAAAGCTGAACGGAGCAAAGTACAGAGAGATCCTTGATGAAAACCTGCTCCAGAGCGCTCAGTACCTCATGCTGGGGTGTATGTTCACCTTCCAACAGGACATCGACCCTAAGCACATTTGCCAAGACAATGCAGGAGTGGCTTCGGGACAAGTCTCTGAATGTCCTTGAGTGGCCCAGCCAGAGCCTGTACTTGAACCCGATCTAACATCTCTGGAGAGACCTGAAAATAGCTGTGCAGCGACGCTCCCCATTCAACCTGACAGAGCTTGAGAGGATCTGTAGAGAAGAATGGGAGAAACTCCCCAAATACAGGTGTGCCAAGCTTGTAGCATCATACCCAAGAAAACTTGAGTCTGTAATCGCTGCCAAAGGTGCTTCAACAACGTACTGAGTAAAGGGTCTGAATACTTAGGTAAATGTGATATTTCCGTTTTTTTTTTATACATTTGTAAAAATGTATAAAAACCAGTTTTTGCTTTGTCATTATGGAGTATTGTGTGTAGATTGATGAGAAGAAAAAACCTGATTTAATCCATTTTAGAATAAGGCTGTAATGTAACAAAATTTGGAAAAAGTCAAGGGGTCTGAATACTTTCCAAATGCACTGTATACTAGAGAAATGTGAAGTTTTAAATGAAATATGGGTGATTGTTAATGGGACAATTGATTGCTACAACCATCAAACCAGTGGTAGAAGTTTAAAGGATAATAACATTAAAATAAACTGTGATGCACATTGTTATAAACTTATCGCTCTATTTATCGTTATCACATTAATTCAGGAAATGTATAGCGATATGGATTTTTGTCCATATCGCCCAGCTCTACCATACAGGTTGTTTTGCATTCTGGAGAGGTTCTCCTACACTGACCGTTAACTGTTCAAGTTACTCCTTCAGTTTATTTGCCACAAACTAGAACTGCTGGCGGGGTTTTCTGCAGAGCTAAGGTAGGCTGTAAGAAACCTTAAATAATTACAGGTAGGCTGTAATTATAGAAACCTTAATTAATTACAGGTAGGCTGTAATTATAGAAACCTTAATTAATTACAGGTAGGCTCTAATTATAAAAACCTTGAGAACTCAACAGATGACCACAGCATGTATTATGGGTTAAGAGGCTAGCTCAGCCATTCACTGAGGGGATTATAACAGCAACACATCAGCCATCAAAAGGAGATCCTTACTTTGGGTTATGTAAAGTGTGGGTAAATAAGGGAGTCTGACAACTTCACTGCTGGTGTAATGTCCAATGTTTACTAGTGAGCTGGCTCAGCTGAAACAGTTGGGGACACTCAGAAACATCTCCAGTGTCGGGGGCAATGGGGACAGGTTAACCTTTTCACTTTTCTCTGTACTCACCCCTTTTCCCATCACAGTTTTGGTATCGGGCTGGTTCTCGCACCAGAAACGGGTGCTGACGGGTCCTTACATTGTTTGCTCTGAGGTGATAACATACAGTGGGGAAAAAAAGTATTTAGTCAGCCACCAATTGTGCAAGTTCTCCCACTTAAAAAGATGAGAGAGGCCTGTAATTTTCATCATAGGTACACGTCAACTATGAAAGACAAATTGAGATTTTTTTTCTCCAGAAAATCACATTGTAGGATTTTTTAATGAATTTATTTGCAAATTATGGTGGAAAATAAGTATTTGGTCACCTACAAACAAGCAAGATTTCTGGCTCTCACAGACCTGTAACTTCTTCTTTAAGATGCTCCTCTGTCCTCCACTCGTTACCTGTATTAATGGCACCTGTTTGAACTTGTTATCAGTATAAAAGACACCTGTCCACAACCTCAAACAGTCACACTCCAAACTTCACTATGGCCAAGACCAAAGAGCTGTCAAAGGACACCAGAAACAAAATTGTAGACTTGCACCAGGCTGGGAAGACTGAATCTGCAATAGGTAAGCAGCTTGGTTTGAAGAACTCAACTGTGGGAGCAATTATTAGGAAATGGAAGACATACAAGACCACTGATAATCTCCCTCGATCTGGGGCTCCACGCAAGATCTCACCCCGTGGGGTCAAAATGATCACAAGAACGGTGAGCAAAAATCCCAGAACCACACGGGGGGACCTAGTGAATGACCTGCAGAGAGCTGGGACCAAAGTAACAAAGCCTACAATCAGTAACACACTACGCCGCCAGGGACTCAAATCCTGCAGTGCCAGACGTGTCCCCCTGCTTAAGCCAGTACATGTCCAGGCCCGTCCTGAAGTTTGCTAGAGTGCATTTGGATGATCCAGAAGAGGATTGGGAGAATGTCATATGGTCAGATGAAACCAAAATAGAACTTTTTGGTAAAAACTCAACTCGTCGTGTTTGGAGGACAAAGAATGCTGAGTTGCATCCAAAGAACACCATACCTACTGTGAAGCATGGGGGTGGAAACATCATGCTTTGGGGCTGTTTTTCTGCAAAGGGACCAGGACGACTGATCCGTGTAAAGGAAAGAATGAATGGGGCCATGTATCGTGAGATTTTGAGTGAAAACCTCCTTCCATCAGCAAGGGCATTGAAGATGAGAAGTGGCTGGGTCTTTCAGCATGACAATGATCCCAAACACACCGCCCGGGCAACGAAGGAGTGGCTTCGTAAGAAGCATTTCAAGGTCCTGGAGTGGCCTAGCCAGTCTCCAGATCTCAACCCCATAGAAAATCTTTGGAGGGAGTTGAAAGTCCGTGTTGCCCAGCGACAGCCCCAAAACATCACTGCTCTAGAGGAGATCTGCATGGAGGAATGGGCCAAAATACCAGCAACAGTGTGTGAAAACCTTGTGAAGACTTACAGAAAAGGTTTGACCTGTGTCATTGCCAACAAAGGGCGGCAGGTAGCTTAGTGGGTAAGAGCGTTGTGCCAGTAACCGAAAGGTCGCTGGTTCTAATCCCCGAGCCGACTAGGTGAAAAATCTGTCTGTGCCCTTGAGCAAGGCACTTAACCCTATTGCTCCTGTAAGTCGCTCTGGATAAGAGCGTCTGCTAAATGACCAAAAATAAAATAAATAAAATAAAGGGTATATAACAAAGTATTGAGAAACTTTTGTTATTGACCAAATACTTATTTTCCACCATAATTTGCAAATAAATTCATAAAAAATCCTACAATGTGATTTTCTGGATTTTTTTTTCTCATTTTGTCTGTCATAGTTGACGTGTACCTATGATGAAAATTACAGGCCTCTCATCTTTTTAAGTGGAAGAACTTGCACAATTGGTGGCTGACTAAATACTTTTTTCCCCACTGTAGCTGTTTGTTTTGTGGGGCACCGCCTCTCACGACAGCTAACCTGTCATTGCCACGGGGTGTCTGCATCCTGACAGTTTGTCCAGGCTCCAATGGACTAAGCTGCTGGGAACTGCGGTCATCGGACACTTTCCCCCTCATTCTTTATTGCGTCAGTGCATCCTTCACCTGAGTCTCCACTACGGGGCGAAGCATATCTGTAGTTATGATATCAGGTTGGTCTCAGTGACAATTTCTATCAGGTGCTTTTCTGAGCACACAGCGCGCTCTGCCAACCAGGGATTAGTGTTAATGACTGTGTAGCCAGAAAGCTAACAATGCTACCTACTTTAGGCCTAGACCTACTTGGCTATGAGGAAAAGGCTGTTATCTTGAGAAAAGTGTCTACACAAGTTTTTTTCATTATTATGATTTTATTTTTAAAGAAAATATGTATACTAGTCTAAAAGAGGTGTCATAGATAATATACTCTGAAAGGTTATGTAAAAGGGCATAACATATAATTTTTACTCTGTCCCCCTTTGAACACAGGTGAATTGCAATGGCTACCAGTCCCAGTGGGGTTCCAGAAGAGGTGTTGATGAACACTGAACTTATAAAGGACTTAGTGGAAGAAGCTAAAGACTTTGCCCTTCAAAATGGAGTCTTGATAAGGACTAAAGAGACCCCCAACTCATCTGAGGTAAACAGAGGGCATCTCCTACTATAGATAGATAGATAGATATAATGAGATCTAGTTCATAGAGTAACAACAAGTGAGAGATGAGAAGTAGCAGGTCAGCCATTTTTAATCTAGACTTAAAGGTCCAGTGTAGCTGTTTTTATCTCAATATCAAATCATTTCTGGGTAACAATTAAGTACCTTACTGTGATTGTTTTCAACTAAAGTGGTAAAAAAGAAACAAATAACTTCTTAGCTATTCTTAGCTACTGACTTGCATAGTTAAATAAAGGTTAAATAAATTAGCAAAGAGCAATTTCTCAAACAATAATTTTGTTATGGCTGTCTGGGAGTGGTCTGAGTGGGGAGGGGAAAACTAGCTGTTATTGGCAGCGGTTTGGAACTCTCTTTTTTTTGTCTTAACTACATCCCACCAAAACAGGCAGAAATGTTAGGTTGTATTTTCAAACAGCTCTTACACTAAAAGGATATTATAATAATTGTTTAATAATTGGAAATACACACTGAGTATACAAAACATTAAGAACACCTGCTTTTCCCATGACATAGACTGACCAGGTGAATCCAGGTGAAAGCTATGATCCCTTATTGATGTCACCTGTTAAATCCAATTCAATCAGTATAGATCAAAGGGGAGGAGACAGGTTAAAGAAGGATGTTTGAACCTTGAGACAATTGAGACATGGATTGTGTGTGTGCCATTCAGAGGGTGAATAGCAAAACAAAAGATTTAAGTGGCTTTGAACAGGGTATGGTAGTACAATAGGTGCCAGGCGCACCGGTTTGTGTCAAGAACTGCAAAAGAACTGCAACGCTGCTGGGTTTTTCACACTCAACAGTTTCCTGTGTGTATCAAGAATGGTCCACCACCCAAAGGACATCCAGCCAACTTGACACAACTGTGGGATGCATTGAAGTCAACATGGGCCAGCATCCCTGTGGAACGCTTTCGACACCCTGTAGAGTCCATGTCCCGACAAATTGAGGCTGTTTTGAGGGCAAAAGGGGGATGCAACTCAATTTTAGGAAGGTGTACCTAATGGTTAGTATTTTCAGTGTATATAAAACACAGGAAAATCACGGTTTTGAATGCACTGGGCCTTTAATTAAATACTTAGGATAGAATGCAAATCTGGGGCAATCTGGGATTGGTACATCCATTTGTGGACTCTCTAATTAATGATATATAACCATTGATTCTAAAATAATATATTTGAAATGTCTCACTCACCCCATCAGAACCCAAAATATAAGGTTGCTTTACACCATAGTTTGTCAACAATATAATTGTAAACACACACTGTATAAACATGGCTCAACTATAATTTTGATCTCATGGATGGTCAGTCCTTGAATCCATAGCTCCATCTCGGAAAATATTCATTTGAGGGTGGTTTTATTTCTCCAGTTCCTTCCCTCAGCTGTTTTCCACCCCAAAAATGGTGGGTTGATGGCTTTGTTGTTTGAATCACAGATTGCCCCTTTAAGTGCATACAGGACAAAATGTAAGTGTCCAACTAGATATTACACCTGGGTCATCTTTGCAGCTCAGGACAGCATTAGCCTACTGAGCATTTCCAGATGAGCTTTCACCACACTATCATGCTACACACAGACAGTTGAGACTGTCCCACGTCTAGAACTGTGTCTGTTTACCGTCATACATACTGTTTTGAATGTGTCCATTTTATCTAAAGTAAACAAATAGGCATCGGAGCTGCTGTACATTTTGCCTGGTTTCAGGTGGTGACCTATGCACCGTTCACACTCTTCCCCTCGCCAGTGCCCAAGGCTATCTTCCACCAGGCTCTAGCAGTACAAACACACTACAACCGACTGGTGGACAAGATCAGCCAGGACTCAAGCTTCCTGGAGGAGGCTCTAGCCAGGTAATACAGAACTGTATGGCCAAGCCGAAAAGACTAGTGCAATAGAGGGATTCTAGACAATTTAAGGGTGCGCTCCTTTTTTTTATTTTAACAGCACTATCAAAGTGGATGATTTCACTGGCAGTTTATTCAACATACACAGACATGTCCTACAAGAGGGGAGGACCCAGGTAGGGCGTTGTAGTTTTAATGAACCTTTTACTGCATTGGGCTAAATCAGGGTCACACAGTGTGTTTCTTGGTAGTCTTAAACAAATCTACTTTGAAACAGAAGTATACACCTCACACACATGGTTATGGACAGAAGAAAAGAAGACAGCTGCACCATGTCAGATATAGAGTTGAAATGTATTACATTTTGAGTTTGCATCCCAATATTACACTTTATAAACATCACAGAAGACTGAAATGTAACAAAACTGCTTGACATAGAAACACCAGAGTTTCTGCGGGTTTTTGAAAAAATGTTTATTAATTATGAAATTATGAAAAATATGAATAACATTTACATTTACATTTTAGTCATTTAGCAGACACTCTTATCCAGAGCGACTTCCAGGGCACTAGGTCATTTGACTGCAGGAAAGGGCTACAGGGCAATTCCACCACTTTTCACTGGGAGGACCTAATCTCTCGGGCATTGTAGTTTTATCTCAATGTTAATGTAACTATATCAGATATTAAGAACATTTGGATTAATCTCATTTAGGAACAATTAAGCTAGGATGTTCACACTCCTTTATGAAAAATGTCCAGTCCATAGTTTTGGGTCTGAATTGCTCAGACTACATGCTTGACCAGAATGGCTCCCTGAAGCAGATAGAGATCAACACCATTACTGCCGGTGGCTGTGGTGTTTCTGCACGCACACCAGACGTCCACCGGTATGTTCACATAACTAGTTATCAAATGATTTCTTTAAATATCCCCTGTGAATTTTTTTTCTTCTAAATAAGGCCTATTCTTATTTCATCATTAGGCACATGCTGGAGGAAAGCAAGCATATCCTAGACAACAACCCTTCTGCAGGTCTGGCAAAGGGCTTAGCTAAAGCCTGGGACCTCTACGGCTCGGAGAGGTGGGTGTCATAAGGTTTTCATATCACTTTAAATTTAAATGATTCAAGCTCCAACTGGCAAGGCTTACTATATAACTCTCATTCACTGCAGGGCAGTGGCCATGTTTCTGGTTGAAGAGTTCCAAAAAAGCTTTTTTGGCCATAGATATATTGAGAATGAGCTATGGAACAGGTAAGTTCGGTTGGATTCCTTGGTGCTTATTAGTCAAGTGAATTGTTATCAGTTCTCGCACAATGAAGTCATGAGTGTCCAGGTATTGACTGCAACATGTTTTTTTGCAGAAATATCCCTGTTATACAAAGACTGTTTGAAGATGTATCTAAGATGGGATTCCTTGATGAAAACAAGAGGCTATTTGTGTACGTTCTATAGTTACTTTTTGTGACCAAATGGATTGTTAGATTTCTAACAAACATGTAATTATGTTACTGACATTGCATTTATGCAAGTCTAACTCTCTTCATATCTCTTGTTGTTTATCATTCTCTCTGCAGTGATGGAAGAAAGGTTGCTATTGTATATTTCCACTATGGGTACATGCCTCAGAACTACACAGAACAGGTTAGATGGTAACATCCTGTCATTGTACTTCACCTGTGGTTGGCAAAACTGTAAGCCCTTTCTCAGTAGTCAGCGTACCATTGCATGTACCATTGCATGTACTGTATGTACCCCTTAAACTCACAAGACTGATTCACAGACCACTTCCCAGTTCCTGTATCTATGATGATGATACTGTTGGATTGGATTTGGCCATTTCATTCAGCAGTAATAATCTTCCCTGTATGATTTTGTGTAGAGCTGGGAGGCTCGCCTCATGATGGAGCGCTCTCTGGCTGTGAAGTGTCCAGACATCAGCACCCACCTGGCCGGCACCAAGAAGGTCCAATAGGAACTGGCCAGACCTGGTGTTCTGGAGAGGTTATTTCCTGGTGAACCTGACGTTGTGGACCAGATCCGGGCCAGCTTTACAGGGCTGTATGCTCTAGACATGGTAAGAGAACCTGGCTAAGTGTTTACATATTACCTCTTCTCTTTACAATGCTGTTGTAAATAGTTCGCATTTCTTCTTCAATTACCTTACTTGGTCACAACAGGGACCAGAAGGTGACAAGACTGTGGCTATGGCTTTGGCAAACCCAGACCAGTTTGTCCTGAAGCCACAGAGGGAAGGAGGGGGTAAGAGGACCTCAGCTCTTTCTTTCTTCTTACAATGGGTGCATTAACTGAAGGTCGCCTGATGCCCAGAGTGGGCTGAGATTTCACATTAGGACCAATGGAATGGTCTACAATGTACAAACTCTACCCACTCTGTGCCCCAGGCGAGGTAAAACGAATGCACCTAATCTCTCGTGACCCTGACCCTGTCATGCTCTGGCCTGTCTGCGGATGTGTAGGATTCCTCTCCTCCTGTAGGCAACAACATCTATGGAGCTGAGATCTGTCAGGTACTGGAGAGTGTGAAAGATGACATAAAGAGGGCAGCTTACATCCTGATGGACAAGATCCATCCCCAGCCTGTACATCCTGGGACGGGGGACTCTGCTAAAACTTAGCACTTGCATATGTGAACTGGGCATATTTGGAGCTTATGTCAGGTATACACACACAGACATGCATATTTTTGTCACAAAATTTTTCATTGACTGATAAAGAAATGTTCAGAATGGTGTTGTGGTGGCAGAATTTTCCACAACAGTGTTATTTGTGTTTGCACTGATCTCTGGATTTGTATTCTCATAGGAGCAGTCACAACATGGTGCTGAATGAGTGTGGTGGGCATGTGCTGAGGACCAAGAGTGATGAGCACTCTGATGGAGGTGTGGCTGCCGGAGTAACAGTCCAAGACAACCCACTCCTCGTCTGACCAACACTGTCTCCTTTGATACTGGTCAATAGATGAAGCCAATGGATCCATACTATCCAAGGAGGAGTGTAATGTCTGTCATCGATCTATGCCTGTCATGTCTGTAGGATGTATGTGCTGTTATGGCTCTTTTATATTGCATTTTTCACATAGTCTGTCTGATGGTAGATATCAAATTAATAGCCTATCTAATCAAATCCAGGAATTGGACATCGGACAGAGCAAGAAAAGTAGAAATATTCATCAGTTTCATTAGCACTTTTTAAAACTTTGCTGTTCATTTCTTCACAACATTCAAATGACTGGCAGGGATCAACCAAGTCTAATAATGTAGAATTATGATGAGTTCATACACGGGTCATTGATTTGGAAAGTATATCACAATAACTACTATTACTCAGACACAAACATGGAGAATGGTATTAGGATGTAAAAAAATGCAGTTCCTTAGTTTGAACACCAGGGGACAGTAAAGGATAAGATATATTTCCATAGAGAACGATAAAGATATCAGCGCACAGGCAGCGCCATTGAGGCAATCTCCATTTTGAAGTAGTCCATTTTCTTCTACTACTTCTATGAGTTGGCAAACAACCTGAAAGGGTGCATACTGCCACCTGGAGTGTTGTTTGAGCAGGTATAAAGCCAAGGTTGGCGATTTACTGCCACGAAATGTTTGATCACGAGTATAATTAATTAGCTGATCCCTCCTGATGGCCCAGATGGAATCATGTGATTCTTCCTTCATCCATAGGAAGTCCCACCTAGTTGACTACTTTCAAATGTTGGAAGCCCTCAATGGCAATTTCCATGCCAAAATAGGTTTTATCCATCTTGAGTCCTATATCTTACTGGATATTTCTCGGACTTTGCAAAAGGCCAAAATGAGTGATGAGAGATACTGGTTTTTCATAATCATTCTAAAAACCTTTATGACATTTTATTTATTGATCAGGTCAAAAAGTGGTCATAGTGCTATGTGCTTATCAATGAATGGATCGTTTTTGAAAACACTACAAATACACTTGAGATATGCAATGCATCCTCAAAACTTCCTGACAGTCCGCCCCCAGGGTAGGTAACAACACATCCGTCACGCTGATCCTCAACACGGGGGCCCCTCAGGGGTGTGTGCTCAGTCCCCTCCTGTACTCCCTGTTCACTCATGACTGCATGGCCAGGCATGACTCCAACACCATTAAGTTTGCCGATGACACAACAGTGGAAGGCCTGATCACCGACAATGACGAGACAGCCTATAGGGAGGAGGTCAGATACCTGGCAGTGTGGTGACAGGACAACAACCTCTCCCTCAACGTGATCAAGACAAAGGAGATGATTGTGGACTACAGGAAAAAGGAGAGGACTGAGCACGCCCCCATTCTCATCGACAGGGCTGTTGTGGAGCAGGTTGAAAGCTTCAAGTTCTTTGGTGTCCACATCACCAACAAACTAACATGGTCCAAGCACACCAAAACAGTCATGAAGAGGGCACGACAAAACCTATTCCCCCTAAGGAGAATGAAAAGATTTGGCATGGGTCCTCCAGATCCTCGAAAAAGGTTCTGCAGCTGCACCATCGAGAGCATCCTGACTGGTTGCATCACTGCCTGGTATGGCAACTGCTCGGCCTCCGACCGCAAGGCACTACAGAGGGTAGTGCGTACGGCCCAGTACATCACTGGGGCCAAGCTTCCTGCCATCCAGGACCTCTATACCAGGCGGTGTCAGAGGAAGGCCCTAAAAATTGTCAAAGACTCCAGCCACCCTAGTCATAGACTGTTCTCTCTGCTACCGCACGGCAAGCGGTACCGGAGTGCCAAGTCTAGATCCAAGAGGCTAAACAGCTTCTACCCTCAAGCCATAAGACTCCTGAACATCTAATCAAATGGCTACCCAGACTATTTGCATTGCCCCATTACCCCCCCCCCCCCCCTTATGCTGCTGCTACTCTCTGTTTATTATCTATGCATAGTCACTTTAATAACTCTACCTACATGTACATACATTGGGGGGGAAAAGTATTTAGTCAGCCACCAATTGTGCAAGTTCTCCCACAAAAAGATGAGAGAGGCCTGTAATTTTCATCATAGGTACACGTCAACTATGACAGACAAAATGAGGAAAAAAATTCCAGAAAATCACATTGTAGGATTTTTTATGAATTTATTTGCAAATTATGGTGGAAAATAAGTATTTGGTCAATAACAAAAGTTTCTCAATACTTTGTTATATACCCTTTGTTGGCAATGACACAGGTCAAACGTTTTCTGTAAGTCTTCACAAGGTTTTCACACACTGTTGCTGGTATTTTGGCTCATTCCTCCATGCAGATCTCCTCTAGAGCAGTGATGTTTTGGGGCTGTCGCTGGGCAACACGGACTTTCAACTCCCTCCAAAGATTTTCTATGGGGTTGAGATCTGGAGACTGGCTAGGCCACTCCAGGACCTTGAAATGCTTCTTACGAAGCCACTCCTTCGTTGCCCGGGCGGTGTGTTTGGGATCATTGTCATGCTGAAAGACCCAGCCACGTTTCATATTCAATGCCCTTGCTGATGGAAGGAGGTTTTCACTCAAAATCTCACGATACATGGCCCCATTCATTCTTTCCTTTAAACGGATCAGTCGTCCTGGTCCCTTTGCAGAAAAACAGCCCCAAAGCATGATGTTTCCACCCCCATGCTTCACAGTAGGTATGGTGTTCTTTGGATGCAACTCAGCATTCTTTGTCCTCCAAACACGACGAGTTGAGTTTTTACCAAAAAGTTCTATTTTGGTTTCATCTGACCATATGACATTCTCCCAATCCTCTTCTGGATCATCCAAATGCACTCTAGCAAACTTCAGACGGGCCTGGACATGTACTGGCTTAAGCAGGGGGACACGTCTGGCACTGCAGGATTTGAGTCCCTGGCGGCGTAGTGTGTTACTGATGGTAGGCTTTGTTACTTTGGTCCCAGCTCTCTGCAGGTCATTCACTAGGTCCCCCCGTGTGGTTCTGGGATTTTTGCTCACCGTTCTTGTGATCATTTTGACCCCACGGGGTGAGATCTTGCGTGGAGCCCCAGATCGAGGGAGATTATCAGTGGTCTTGTATGTCTTCCATTTCCTAATAATTGCTCCCACAGTTGATTTCTTCAAACCAAGCTGCTTACCTATTGCAGATTCAGTCTTCCCAGCCTGGTGCAGGTCTACAATTTTGTTTCTGGTGTCCTTTGACAGCTCTTTGGTCTTGGCCATAGTGGAGTTTGGAGTGTGACTGTTTGAGGTTGTGGACAGGTGTCTTTTATACTGATAACAAGTTCAAACAGGTGCCATTAATACAGGTAACGAGTGGAGGACAGAGGAGCATCTTAAAGAAGAAGTTACAGGTCTGTGAGAGCCAGAAATCTTGCTTGTTTGTAGGTGACCAAATACTTATTTTCCACCATAATTTGCAAATCAATTAATAAAAAATCCTACAATGTGATTTTCTGGAGAAAAAAAATCTCAATTTGTCTGTCATAGTTGACGTGTACCTATGATGAAAATTACAGGCCTCTCTCATCTTTTTAAGTGGGAGAACTTGCACAATTGGTGGCTGACTAAATACTTTTTTCCCCCACTGTATTACCTCAATTACCTCGACTAACCGGTGCCTCCGCACATTGACTCGGTACCGGTACCCCTTGTATATAGCCTCACTATTGTTATTTTTACTGCTGCTCTTTAATTATTTGTTACTTTTATTTCATATTATTTTATATTGGTCTCAATACTGATCCTTATGAGGTAGCCTGTTCTTATGTTTAGCCATTCCATTCTTTGTTCGTGATCGACCAACTCTCTAGAGGAGACAATGGGGCCATATTGGCTGTCCTTTAAGAACAAACACACACAACAGCCAGTTTGACCTGGATGTTATCTCGCCCTCTCTGTCCCTGGCAGTGCTGTTGTCTACTCTGCCTGTGTGTGTTATCCTACTGCCATCAGAGCTCTTTGTTATTGATCGCCCGGTGCCACACATTCCAGGAGGTGGGTCATCAAACAGACGGACACACAGGTCACTCTCTATGGGCTGCATTTCCCGCAAGGCTCTGGCTGCCTCCCACGTTACTTCCTGGACTGCAGCAGGATTCTGTGGAAAAGTAACTGTGTTTGTTCCCTGCAAAAGTTGCTCTAGGGGTCAGGATATGTATTATTCCAGTGATCACTAAGCAGACAGTTTTTGGTCATAGGTTTCCTTTCTCAGAAATGGCTCTGCATGACTCACAAAAGCTGACAAAGAATGTATCTATTTTCTCCATGAATGACTCCACTGTTTGTTTCCTTGCCAGTTTGCTCACATTCTCTGGCAAATTATTGGCAAGGGTAGTTGAGAACGCTTGAGAGAATGGCTGTAGTGCAGGGGTGTCAAACGTCCAGCCCGCGGGCCGGATCAGGCCCGCAAACGGGTTTAATCCGGCCCGCGAGATGATTTTAAAAAAAAAATAAAAAAAATAAAAAATAATAATAATTTTGTAAAGTATAAAAATGCGCTTCAATTTTTCTATAAAATAAACTGCTGTTCCAATTGCACAATAGCAATTGTGTTAAGCAAGCAAACTGTTTATACCGGGGCAGAGCAAGTAGGTCAAGCACGTGCAGCCAATGAGCTACTTTGTTTTGCCCGCGATATTTATTACGGCTTCTACTTTTAACATTATGTG